GGGGGGGGGGGGGAGGGGGTTAATATATGAGTATAAGGAGGATTTTTTTTTAATTTTTTGATGCAAGCTCTGGTGTTGAACCACGTGCAATTACAAATGCCAATAATCAATTTTAAAAAAAAAAACTCAAATCTATATATCTATCTATATATTATCTATTATCTATATATTATTAAAAGGAGAGGATGAAGCCATCTCCTTAAGCCAAGTAGCAGCATAAAAAAAAGCCACATGGCATAATTAGTTACTAATTAGTTTTTTAGTTAATAATTAATTATTAGTTATTATATTTAAATTTAAATATCTATAAAAAACAAAAATAATAAAAATTTAAAAACTACCATATATATATATATATATTATTTTAATTAATAAATATAGATATCTTATAATTAATTATAATAAAAAAATCGAAAATATAAATATATAAAAAATAACTAGCCATTCAAATTGGGTGGGAGTAGTTTTNCTTTTGATTCAAATTGTGGAGTAGTTTCTTTCTAATATTCTATATTCTATATATCTTCTATATATTATTCAAAGGAGAGGATAAAGTCCTCTCCTTAAGCCAAGTGGTAGCCTAGAAAAAAATCTTATGGAATAATTAGTTAACAACAAAGAAATTATCTATTGAAAATTAATAAAGAAATGAACTACCTAAATTAACTACTAAAACATGGTGAGGGTTGGTTTAGGTTAGTTAATTTCTTTATTTCATTTTTTAAATCATTTTCTTTTTTATTTTTTGAAATAAAAAGTATATCTATTCATTAAAATTCAAAAGTATATCTATTCATTAAAAGTATAAAAATTATTTATTAAAAATTAACAAAGAAATTAACTACTCAAACATCGGTGAGGGTTGGGTATATCGTATTGACAAATAAGATAACAATTGAAATTTATTAAAGCAATACGGTCTAATAGGATCAAACAAGCCCAATTATAATTTAATTAATATTTTTTTAATATTAACCGCGCATCGCGCGGGTACGATTACTAGTTGAATGGTAAAAACGGACGGCAGCCCACCAGCATGTGAAACACCACGTAGGCACCTACCCTAGATTCAAAAATGGGCACCCCTTTTCGACCGCAGTCCGGAACCAAAATGTGATTCTTTTGGACTCAAAGTACACAAATAAGTGGTAAAAAAAAGTTACATTTTTATATATAGCGCCACAATACCTGGCGCTATACATTGACGGTAACTGCACCGTTAATGTATAGCGTCATTTATTGTGGAGCTATACTGCAAAAGCTGACAGGGCCCAGGTATAGCGCCACAATAACTGGCGTTATACCCCTTTGTTAGTTTTGCTAGTGATCAGTCTATATATGGGGCCTCCCATGCTGTGTCTTTGTGCAAGATAAGTATGCCCCAATATTTTATTTCTTCCTTTTTGGTCTTTCCGAAAACACATGGAGATCATTCAACAAATATTATGGTTGTTCAAACTGAGTAAGTCAAATCAAACCAATTTAATTAGGTTTGATTTGATTGGTTTGGTATTGAGTAATAAAAATTCCAATCAAACCGACATATAAATATATAATTTTATAGATACATTGAAGAATTTATAAAGAATTTTTTTCAAAAGATATCTAAAAATATTTGTGATCTTCTCATGGAATGTATCTATTTTTTTTTACACTTTATATAATAGGTTATATCATTACTTTCTTATCAAATATTATTGAAACGCGTGTATTTTTTTGTTGTTCCATATTTATATAATAAAAACCCCGGAAAACTCGAAAAAACAAATAAAAATGAACTAATCATATTAATTCACTTTAGCCCAGTTGGTTTCAAAACCAAACCTATTTGTACTATGCAAAATTGTGACTAAAGTGGTTCTTTATCCAATTTGATTTGTTTTCCAAGTATATTAATTCACTTTAGCCCAGTTTATTTAGTTGGATTCTTGCTAACTACATGTACTAGCTGCTCGTGGGGTAAAAGACTAGGAACAAGAGATAATTATATTGTACTGGCAACGGAAAAAAAATTAAAAAAAAATGAAAAGAGAGACCGAAGGAAAGAAAGAGACCACTTTAATGGCATCGGAATTGGCAAAAGTAACAAAGGGGTATAGCGCCAGTTATTGTGGCGCTATACTAACCCTGTCACCTTTTGCAGTATAGCGCCACAATAAATGGCGCTATACATTAACGGTGCAGTTACCGTTAATGTATAGCACCGGATATTGTAGCACTATATATAAAAATGTAACTTTTTTTTACCACCTATTTGTGTACTTTGAGTCCAAATGAATCATATTTTGGTTCCGGACTCTTTCCGACTGTGTCTACGTCAGCAGTTTTCGAGTGTGGCACCCCCCACTGCATTTGATTCCCAAAATTGAGCACGTTTTTAGGTTAATTGAGCACGTTTTTAGCACACTTTTTGGCAAATCAAGAGATCTGCTTGGATTGCTTTGGAGAATTGTATTTGGAGCTTCCCACTTTTACATGTTTTGTTTATATTTGGTAAGAGTTCAATGGAACTCTTTCTGCTAGATTGGTCTCCGTTTGTAATGAACCTCTTTTATTTTCTTTTGCGCTTTCAATAAAAACGTATGAATTATAATTAGGCTGATTAAAGTGTATTGATAATAGGCTAGATCTAGGTAATTTGGCGATTGTTTATGCTCCCGCTTGATTATGTTCCAATGTCATAATATGGTTAAAATGATGAAAAATGGGCTCTAATTGTGAATTTTACACATTGCAGGACGAGGAGCCTATGTGATGCCTTAAAGTTGAGATTGGAGCTACTTTGGAGCAAGAAATACCCCTCGGGGCTGAGTGTGCGCGAAGACTAGACAAAAAAATCGAGGAAATAAAGGCCCGGACTAGCGCGAGCAGTAGCGCGATCGCGCTAGTCCAGATGCGGGAGGCAGAATGTCAGTCAACTAGTGCGACCTCTAGCGCGAGCAGTAGCGCGTTCGCGCTAGTCCCAGTTCCGGAAAAGACTTGTCAGGNCTAGTTGTTTGGTTGAGTATTCTAGTTGTTTCATTAATTGATATTTTTTAGGTAGTAGATTAGAGACGATTATATTTTGTGGAAAAATCTTTTGGATCGATAAGTTAATTGAGTTTGAATCAGTCAATAGTTAATCACAAGTCTTCGTGGGAACGATACTCTACTCACTACTTTATTACTTGACGATCACGTGCACTTGCGTGAGTGTTTTGATCGCAACATGTATAGGTAGAGTAGTTGATTATCATTCCAAGTCTCAAGGTCTTGTTTAGAATTCTCTTAAAGGAAGATGAATCCTTACAAACAAAAAAAAATAGAGATCAAATCTTTTCTTGCTCTATATCCATTTATAACATTTTTTTAAAATTTTTTAGCTAGATGTTAAGTACCTATATTAGTCCAAAAAAAGGGTTAAAAATCAACCTGTTAGCTTGTTCTATTTTTTGTTCATTCATCCAAAAATTTTGAGATATTCTCGTGACCCATTTTTAATTATGTTTCTCACTCAATCCTCCAATTGAATAAGTTGGGTTGGTTACACAAATTCTTAGCTCACTTTTACACATCGTGTATCACTGAATTCATTTAATCCATGAGCAAATATTTTGTGATGATGAGTTAGATCAAGTGAGAATTGTTTAATTCAAATAGTTTATTTTTGAACTATCATAGTTTGATTTGCTAATGAAGTATTGATTTATCGGTGTATGTTTAAGAAAAAGATATTTAGACTAAGCGTATCGATCTTTTCAATAATAATTTATCTTATCTATACTGAACTACAAGAAATAAATTATCAACAATCCAAGAAGAGGCTTAACTGTTAAGATTGTATAATTATATTTTTATATGTAATGATAGTTAGTTGTATAGTTAGTGGAGTTAGTTAGCTAGTTAGCAGGCCAGCTTAGCCAGCTCAGTATTAATTGTATTTTCTAGTATTGTACGTGTATATACGGTATTGTAGTGAGAAAAGAAGGTGAGCTTTCACTTTCCCAATTCATATTTTCTCTCTTACTATTCCCTCTCACAAAACTCTCTAGAAGGACTCCATTGAAGCTCCAGACAGAGCTTCAAGCTTATCTTCAAACTCAGTTCTAACATGGTATCAGAGCAAGGAAGCTCATGCTCGACTATCCGCCGTCGTCTCTCTCAATTTAGCCCGCTCCTTTCTTTCTTCTGAATCTGTCTCTCTAGTTCGACCGGCTAATTTATTCGAATCGCAAAATTGACAATTAATTCTTCAAGTCTCACCTGGAATTAATGTGTAAAACAACAGATTCATCTACTCATGGATGTATTAGATCAGGAAGACACATTTGTTAGTGATACCAGTGACGTCGCTGCAACGAGCACCAAAATAGATCCAAGTGATCCTCTCTACCTACATCCGTTAGACAATCCTAGAGTGATGCTCGTCTCAATTCCTTTAAGTGGAATTGGATATAGATCATGGAGACGTAGTGTGATGCGAGGTCTGTCCATCAAAAATAAGTTAGGGTTTATAAGTGGAGAGTGTAAATCACCAGATCCTCAATCTCAAAGGTTTCGACAGTGGGAGCGATGCGACAATATGGTGATGTCTTGGATTCTAAATTCATTCTCCAAAGACATTGCGAACAGTGTGAAGTATGCTAATAATGTTGTTGAATTGTGGAGAGAATTGGAGGATCGCTATGAGCAAATTAATGGTGCTAGGTTGTAGTAGATCCAAAAAGAGATAAACGACCTGTCTCAAGGCGTGCTGGACATAACGAGTTATTATGCTAAGCTGAAAAAGCTCTAGGAAGAGCTGAATACTTTGAGTAAGAAGACTCACTGCAGCTGTACCCGTACCTGTGGTGCCAAAGAGAACATGCACAAGGCCGAGCAAGATAGGACATTGATACAGTTCCTTATGGGACTTAATGAGGTCTA